TATGTAGTGTTGTATAAGCTGATTACAAAAGCATGTCCCATTTTTAATACAATATTTTTAGATTGACATGAGAAATATTTCTGCAAATATTTGTTATGTAAATAGGAATTAGGATATATTAATCCAAGAGAGAGATAAATATATTTAAATACCATACTTTTATCAGCTGTCTCTGAATCACCTGTATTATGCCTCTATCTAAAATTGATTTTCAAAATATAACAAAATTCTGAACACTTGTGTCTTTCAGTTTTTGTTGACTTTATTTTATTTGGCACTATTTAAAATCTATACTGCAATATATAAATAACTGAGCAATTTTGTTACAATATTTCAATTTTATGAAATCATATTAAAAGAATCTCCCTTACTCATTATTCTTAATACCTTGTTTTTAAGAAAATGTTTGTGATCTATTTCAGATGATCTATCCAAAATCTTTTCACCTTTAATAGCTATAATCACCATTATTTTGCTCATTAAGTAAATTATTTCTTCAGAACTAATGAAAATATTTTCCAGCTTTAATAAATCTAAAACAACCTAAAATAGAAAAAAAATGTATTTTTGAAAATTGACAGTACCTCCCTTGGCAATTGTATTGATTTAAACAAAAGACCAAAAATGTACTGTGTCTATTGGAATTAGAAAACTCAAAAGTGGCTTGATCTAGTTGACTATTATGACTATTATCTTTCTGAACAAATAGGAACTCTGCATAGCTGTTATTATGCTTAATATGTAAGTATTCCAGTTAAGTCCTAAAAACAATAATTCTGATTCCAAAATATTGATTCCCTACAGGCAATTTATATAAAAGCCTATTAATATAAGCTATGTGGATGTGTCTTTTTTCTGCAGGAAATCATGATAACCACACCATGCCTTCAAGGAAGCCAGGATCACAATTGCAACATAAGTAAGATGGGTAGTCTGGAACAATCATGTAGAGGGGATTATATGATCATTTCTATTAAAACAAGTACAAATTAAGATACTATAAAGTTTCATGTCTATTGCATAGTTCTTCCTTCTATTTATTTCCAATCGATATTGTAAAAACTCAATATTTTAATCCGTAGACAGCAGATATTTTCACATTCAATAAACCTTACTATTTCCTAACATTCACTTTCATTGAAGTTCTGTTTCACAAACACCAAATGCAAACAGAACACAATTCTGGCATATTTCCTTAATACATCATGACTCATGATGCTACTCTGTTAGCTATTGTCACAATAAAACCTCATTGCTAAAATATAAAAATAAGCAATACAATTATACCATACAAAAAACCCTAATATATGCCCCAAATGAAACAAATTCTAAGTATTTTGTGATAATTTTATTTTCAACACTTCCTTCCAATTTTATTCTAATCAGACATTATTTATATTAAATATATTGATGTAGATGCTAATGTCCTTAAATATTCGTAGATTTGTTTCTATTCTATTCCTCAATGGAATCAAAATAAGATATAACATAAATCTAGTTTTATGTAATAGTTATTTTCTTTTCTTTAGCCCATCTAACTTGATGTTTTACACTGGCCATTTTAGTTACTTATCGAATATTAATTTGATCTTAGTAATGTTTTTGAAATCTCAAATTAGCACAAGAATCTAACCCAAATCATAGTATGCAGCAATGATCTAACATCTCCTTGACAATTTCAATGATTGAATGTCACCTTAACATTTTAATATTATAAGCCTATAAATTTGTTTTTCTTTCTTTTTTTTTTCTGATTCTTTTCCTGTATTTCCTTTTAGTAATGTTATAATGCATATACCAGAACAAACAAACAAGGTTTTTTTTTTAATGTAAGAGTTGGTCAGGATTCAAAATAGAGCCTGGTTATTTGAGTAACTGCCAATTTTATTCTAATCAGACATTATTCATATTAAAGATATTGATGTAGATGTTAATGTCCTTAAATATTCCTAGATTTGTTTCCTTTGAAAAAATTGGAGCTCATGAAAACATTTTCTGTGAAGCATTTATAGCAAGAACTGAATTAGTTAAATCTGAAGCACCATAGCTTTACTTACATGTTAATAACTTGACAGCTTTGCAAGAGTGGCATGTTAACCTGAAATTGCACTTGCATATCATTGTTTATGATGAATCACAAAGGGATGACCATCTGCACAATACTCCTCACATATTGAATGAACACTACAAGAAAGTTAAGATCTGTACATATTTGATTCACATGTTGAAGACGCAGATATGAGAGCCATTCTTCATTATAGCTACTGTATGTGTTAAGTTCCTTTGTTTTCCTTTTCTAGGCTGTCACTAATTCTCTAAAAACAATACTAGATAAACTACTGTTAAATATTTAATCAAACAAATTAACTGGTGCAAATTAAATCTTATGTCCTTGGGATTTTTCTGGGGAAAATAGGATGGAGTGCCAGTTAATCTCCATTCCTCCTGTTCTTTTCAGGGGAAAACATAAACAAATTGTTTTATGTTTTCTCAATTTTGTATCACTACTTGGGCACACACAAATACATTAATACATTAAATCTCATATGTATTTATGATAATTTACAATACTGGTAAGAACCTTTCAAAAGGAATACTTTCTACAGTATCTTAATGTTTGCTAGCCAATGGACTTGCTCAAACTGACCTCACCTTTTCTGGAAAAGGAGGAGCTGGACATTTACAGGCTCTCAGGAATATTAACCTCAGGATCTGAAGAATAAAGTTATTCTTTATTCTTACTATTAAGTTAAAAATTAAACATATGTGGGGTATGTTTGAGCTTGTTGGTCCTGATAAAATGTAGAGGGTACTTGGAGCTGTTAGTGGGGTGGGGTGGGGATTTGCTTGGTTTTTAGTTGCAATATAATTTGGGGATGGATTATTTGATGTAAACCACTTAGAATTATATTTTACCTAAACTGTGGAGCAAACAAATAATCTAAATAAATAGATATTGAGCAATTGCGTTAACATGTTTAATTATACTTGCATTGTACTTCTGACAGCTATTTTGTGATCCCTGGTATCCTTCTTGCCAGCTTAGGAAACTGAGGGAGAAGCACATTGTCATGATGGTTTTCTACCTTTCTCTAGGGTTCTTCAGTTAGTGTTGTAATTTCCCATCTAGTACCACTACTTTGGGAGCTGCATTGGGTCTCAGCAGGCTTCTGAATGTCATTTATGGTGTCAATTATCATTATCATTAGCCACAAGCACAAGACTGTAGAATATGCAGGACCACTTTCTGATTATTACATGTTACCTTACATGTTTTTTATTGATTGGATATGAATTAAGTTAGTTCTTGAGACAATATCATTTGATGGGATTTAGGAAGGATCCTTCTTTTTGTGTGCTATCTGCCCTTTAGTATGGTTTGCTACAGACATGGTCTTCAGCAGGTTCTGACCAGTTCTGGAGAACCAGTAGCAGAAATTTTGAGTAGTTTGGAGAACCAGTAGTAAAAATTCTGATTGGCCACACCACCTATTCTCTGCCTCCCAAGTCCCAGCGGATCAGGAGGAAATGGGTATTTTGCAGTATCTTTCCCCTAGATTGGGGACAGAATGGTGATTTTACAGTATCCTTTTTCTGGAGTGGGGTGGGAATGGAGATTTTACACTATCCTTCCCCTGCCATGCCCACCAAGCCACACCCACAGGACTGGTAGTAAAAAATTTGAAATCCACTACTGGTTTGCTCCCTTCTCTATAATAGGATAGCCCTGACTTCTTTCAGCCTCTAGGATTTTTTTTAAAAATCCTCATTTTTGTTTTTGGGTGATACTGTATTTGCAATGTTATTTAGGAGAGGCTTATTTGATGTATAACACCCAGAGTAACAAATACATGAGATATGCAGCTGTACAAATCTTGTAAATAAATATTGAACACTTGTAGTAGCATGATTAATTAACTTGTTTCTCACTGTCTTTCTGTAAGGTGTATTGTTCAAAGTACAAAATACTTATTGAACATTCTATTTTTTATACTGGTATAAAATTAATTATTGAGCTTTAGTAATGACCATTCAAATTGAGGATTTGCCAAAATCCATATTTGCATATTTAATTTCAGAGATTTTGCCAGGCTTATTCTACCTTAAGAAATGATGCATTGTGGGTCTGTTTTAGATCTGAACAAGCAAAGAGACAAATCCAGTCTGTTTTATTCCACTCCTCAGTGGAATCAAGATAAGATAAAACATTAATCAATTTCTTAAGTAATAGTTATTTTCTTTTCTTTAGCCCATCTAACCTGATGTTTTATACTGGCCATTTTAGTTACTTATTGAATATTAATTTGATCTTAATAATGTTTTTGAAATCTCAAATTAGCATAAGAACCTAACCCAAATCATAGTACATAGCAATGATCTAATGTCACCTTGACATTTTACTGTTATAAGCTTTACAAAGATAAAGGTAGTCCGCCATATTTCCATAATTAACTAATTGATTAAAAAAACCAACTTTGTCTTCTGAAACACATCACTGATGATCAACTGACAATGGAGCTCCTTGTTATTTTTATGGTCATATGATCATGGTTTGCTAAATTATATCATAATGCAACCACCATGATTATGCATGGTGCCTCCTGATATCTGACATAAGCTGCAATTTTTGTATGGTGATGTCATATTAACATTTCTACCTTTTTCCTTGAATGGAAACTCATGATAATAAATTTTGTACCTGTATTCACCTGTTTAATCACACTTATAATATTATAATATTAATTTTCTATCCTTAATGAACACAGTTCACAATCACATCTTTAGTCAGCAGTAAAAACAGAGAAGAAATGAAACAATTAAAACTTTTTTCAAATTAATATTAATATTCTATAATTTTACAATCAAACAATCATGTTCAAATTACACATTTTTTAGCCTGAGGATAATGTAAAGTAGAATGTAGAGTGTGCAACCATTATTTAACAGTAATGTTATTATTATTTAAATAATCAACTGAGAACAAAAAATAGTATATTCACCTTTCTTGTCATCAAAGTACAAAGTTTGTTGAGCTGGATTCGACCACTGGAGGGAGGTGTTATCATTTTGATCAACTCTACAAGTCAGTGTTGCTGTTTCACCCTCAATAACTGTAACGTTCTGTGTGAGTGGGAACTGGCCTTGGCTGCCTGGGGAGAACATTAAAAAGAAAAAGAAATTGTACTATATTGAAAGTTATAAGAGTAGATCAGTATCTTTTACTTTCGCAAAGACTTGTTCAGTGAGTTCCTGTTGTTTTATTTTATTTCAGTAGGAGGATTTTTTAAAAAAAAATACAGTCTTATCAGAATAGTTGCTCTTAAAATAATCATGCTTTTATCTATCTTTTTCATTAAAAACAATAATTTTATGAAAATTATCAGAATATTATTTTCTTTGTTAAAGTTAGTATCACTTTCTGACATGTAGGAAGGCCAGGTGAACATTTTAACAATTTAAAATATTTTAGAATAAAGAAAAGTCACAAAATCTATATTTGTTTTAACTAGTGTCCCGATTTAAACAACAGTTTGCTAAATTTATCAGTGTGTGATTAATGTAATTAAAGGCAGGCTAAATTATCAAGAATACTTTAACAAAATCCTGAGACGCAGATTCTGAACTGAAACTTATCTTAGGACAACTTCATATCTAAAATTCTAATTCAAAGATAATATGAATAGTCTTATCAACATTTCCTTCTTTTTTTTTAATTCTAATTTGGCCTGATTGGGTTTTTTTCCCCAAACTGTTTAGACATTTCCCCAATGTCTAAACAGAAATAGTTAAGATGTTTTCAGAGTTCAAAAGTAACACTAAAGAAAGGCAATTTACTATTTTGCTACCATAAGTGATGAAAATCAGATGACTGCACCTGTTTGGAAGAATATTAATTATTTAAGATTCCAAAAGTTCATGATGTATTTTCTTTTTCTTTAAGTAATACAGAAATATCTAGTAAAACGTTTAAATAAACAAATTTTAAATAATGTATAATTTAGAAGTTACACATAATTTAGTCATTATTTGTTGAATTTATTCTTCTTCTCCATTATTTTCAATTATTAAGATAAGGAGTACACACTCAAAATGATGATAGACAGAGAGATAGGAACATAATATCCTCCCTTAGATCACAAATATTTAAGAATGGTATTGGCAAATCCTTTCCAATAGCAGCAACGTATTTGTAGTGAGCTTTCTGCAAGCCAAGTAGTCTGAAGGCTACTTTTAAATACTTAAAGCTAGTCACTTCTTCTATTTTATGGCCATTAATGCTCCATAAATGGAACTTTTATTGAAACAGAATATAATTTCATTTAGGGGAAAATAAGGAAGCCTATAAATTTAATGCACAGAGATCTGCATATTTCCTATTTTTATTTCATTGTTTTCTTAAATATACGCCACTGTCCTTCAAGGAATAAAAGAAAGCATGCACCAAATGTTATGCTATGATTGTTTTTCTTTTTTTAAAGTAACAATTTGTGAATTTAGTTTTGCTGAGAGATACTGGTCCAGAGACTGAACTATGGGTGGATTTGACTATACACAATATCAGAGATTCATAAAATAACACATGGTGTATTGAGGTAGTGATTAACACTTTTTTCTTTAAGAATATCCAAAAAAAAAAATGAAGCCACATGGTAGAATTCAGGTAGATAAAACAGTTATTCACAAAGTATTTGCCATGTTTATTATAAACTCCACCCTCCCATGCTGAAGACAACAATTTCAATAACAGTTGTTGAAAACAAAATTGGTTTCAACTTCTGCTTTCATTGCATTACATTAACTCACTTGATTAGCTTGCAACAGTTTTCTCTTTTCCAAAGATTTCTAGCTGACTTTTGGTAGTTTTTGTAGATTTGACTTACCCATCTACATAATTATTTCATCTTGAAACCTTATCCTTCAATAGTAAGACTTAGAACCAGTATTGTAATAATTTCATAGTATTTAGTCTCCTTTAGATAGAGCTCTATGTAACAGTACACTTAAATATGCAAAACTGAAATAAGTTAGGGTAAAAAAATATTGAACTTGTTGATCTGTTTGTCTTTGCTTTCAAAATATCTATACAAATGGTCATGGTGATTGCCTGAGATTCTCTTTGATGAATTATTTCAACAAGCTGCTCATGAATCTAGCAGATGTTTATGTTGTATAGACCAGTGAGAACCGTATGGACCCTTTTCTTTCCTCCTCCCTGAAACAAATTTTAACACAAGATCTGGAAGCAAGCATATGTGTGATAGATAGAGAGTTTATTATCACATAATGGATGCATGAAAATTTACTAATAGTATTTGGTTATCTGGTTTTAATAAACTGAATGTCAGAGTTCCAAGTAACACCCCCAACGAAATCAAACTCTGAGGCTTGAAGTTTCTCAAAGCTAATTTTTATTAGAGATGTCATATTGGCACATCTGGGAAAACCCAAATCTGAGAGCTTCCGGGTTTTCCACACCCAAAAGAAAGTTCAAGACCTTGCCCGTCAACCACATGTCCACCACACATCCAATCAGGTACCATCTGGAACAGAAGATACCTCTTCATTCTTCTCAACACAGCTGCAGGGCATCATGGCCTTGACTTTCTATAAAGAATTTTATTTTGACTACATATCTTCTTCCCTCTATGCAGTCCCCCCTCCCAATTTCCCACAGTAGGATTTGTGGCAGTCCGGAACCCTAAATGCACAAAAGTATAAAGATGGCTTCCAAGTCTGACACTGAACTCAAAATTAACATCCTTTCCTATTCACTTCCCCTTCCCTTCTCTTTCCTTTCTCACTAGAAGTTTTAAATATTGTGCTGTGCTTTCTAAGATACTAAGACAACAAAAAATGGAGTAATAAAATTAGGAAGCTAACTTGTGACCAATGATAGTTTATTTTTTTGTTATTTGAAGGAAAGGTTGTACATAAGGAAAAAAGTGTTTAATAATAAATGGGAATAATGATTACAGAACAACAAAAACAGAATCAAGGATAGATTTTTTTTAACTTGAAAAAAGGGCTTAGATGTCTTATGCAATTAAAAGGATTTTTTTCCAGATGTACTCTACAAGAAATGTATTAATTGCTAGTTATCAGAATAGTCAGAAACATTATATCTGTAATTGTGAAGAAAGAAAGATGTACTAGTTGTGATTCAAATCATATGGTTTGCCACCATAGATATTAAGTTTTAAAAAAATCTTAAATATATAAATATGAACATGAATATTCAAATTATTCCAATTTCTTACAAATCAATTAATTATATTTACCAATAATAATAAACCAAATAATTTCCCCCCTATATTCCTCCAAACCACAACTTAACCATTTCTGCTTTCAACACAATATACAATTAATAGTATCTCAATTATTACAATTCCCTAGTTAAATAGAGCTTTTTTCCTTTTGTGTTTTAAAATCTTGAACTCTCCTTTTTCCCTAAATTTCCCATTGTTTGCATCTACCTTTTTTGGTGAGGAAAAAGAAAAGAAATCTGCCTGCCTAATTTTCCAATGTTGCAGCAACAGCAAAGCCAACAGCCTGCTTTACTTTCAGTTTCGCTTTTCAGCATAGCTAGAAGAAAAAAATCTGCTCCAGCAAGCAGCAGAGCCCTGAGCAAAACAGCTGAGAGCAAATCAGCTGAGAGTCGGGAGCCGATCTAATCAAGGGCTAATTAGGCTATGCTGAAGCTCCGCGGGCCAATAAAATTACAAAAAAACACCGAACCATTTGTTAAATTGCTGGCTCGCCCGCCCCTCGCCCACAACTATTTATTGGCAATAAATAGTAGTGCGGAGGGTCAGGCCAAAGGGCGGGGTGGAACCAGCAGAATCCCACCACTGGCTATAGGGCGCCCTTTGAAGCCCTGCGGCAAGAATTTAAACAGTTTTTTTTCCTCTAGCCATCAGCTGGGACTCAGGAGGCAGCAATAGATTGGGAGTGGGCGGGGTAAGCGAACGCCAGCGATCCAATAGAGGCAGAGGGTGAGGGTGAGTGAAGGTGTGGGGGGGGCGAGAGAGGGCTTTGACGACCCCTGTGAAATGGCCGTTCGACCCCCAAAGGGGTCGCGACCCCCAGGTTGAGAACCGCTGTTCCAGAGGGATCTCTCTTTAATGATCTTCGACCCATTACTTCTTGTTCTTCCCTTCTCGGTGACAGTCCCTCAAATATTGGACTACTGCTATCAAAGCACTCTTAGACCATTTATTTCTGTTAGACTAGACATTCCCAGTTCCTGCAACTGTTCTTCATATGGTTTAGCCTCCGACCCCTTAACATCTTTGTTGTTCTTCTCTGCACTCTTTCTAGGGTCTCAATATCTTTCTAGTGATCAGAATTGGATCCAATATTCCAAGAGTGGTCTCATCAATGCAGCATAAAGTGGTAATATCACTTCATGTGAGATTGAAACTATCTTTCTGTTGATACAACCTGATACCTCATTAGCTTTTTTGGCAAATTGCTGGCTTATTCTTAAATGGTGGTCTACTAGGATACCTAGATCCCTTTCAGTTGCTATTGTTGAGTCAGGTACCACTATTTTATCTGTGCATTTGGTTTTATTTGCCTATGTGAAGGAACTTATTTGTCTCACCAATTGCATTTTGTTAGATAGGGCCCAGTGTTCAAATCTGTCAAAGTCCTTCTGAATCATGAATCTATCACCTAAAAGCTATTTTTCCCAGCTTGGTATAGTCCAAATGTAGTTCTCCTTCTAGATCATTTATGAAGGTGTTGAAGAGTACTGGACCTAATTCAGAATCTTGGAGTATTCCACTGCATGTTTCTTCCACGTAGATGTAGTTTCATTGGGAACTACCCACTGCGTGTGGTTGATCAGCCAGTTGCAAATCCATCTGGTGGTGGTACTGTCTATCACATATTGTTCTGTCCTACCAAGAAATAGGCTAAAATCTACTTTGTGAAATGCTCCACTGAAGTCTAAGAAAACCATGTCCACAGAATTTCCCTTATCCAACAATTTAGTCACTAAGGCAATAAGGTTTGGCTCACAGATACACTGCTTTTCCATGAACTTCCCAGTAATGATGTCAGGCTGCTGAGTATAGTTTCCTGAATCCACTCTTTTTTTTTAGATTGAAACCACAGCAACTCTTTTCCAGTGCTCTGATATTTCAGG